AAATTACACAAATCAGAGTTCATTGAAAAAGTGCACGAAGAGTCCATTAATATGACAGTAGTCAGGTAACACGTCATCAATAGCGAGTGTGACCACCCTGGGCATCCATGCACGCCAACACACGCCTCCTCATTGACGTCGTCAGTCGGCGGATAACGTCAACAGGAATCCTGTTCTATAAGTTCAATAGAGTCTGTTCAACTTCCTGTCGGTTCGCTGGAGGCGGTACATGTTGTCTCATCAAGATGATCCCAGAGATGTTCAATGGGGTTCATGTCGGGAGAACAAGGTGGCCAGGGAAGTACGTTGACGTTAACATTGTTCAGGTAGTCTTAAACAATTCGGGCGGTGTGAGGCCTTGCGTTGTCTTGTTGCAAAATTAATCCTCTTGGCTGATGTTGAATAAAGGGCACCGCAACAGGTCTCAACACTTCATCCCTGTATCGCTGAGCATTCAGGTTTCCTCGGATGATAACCAGCCGTGTTGTAATCTGGCCACAAATGCCACCCCATACCATGACGCCTCCACCTCCAAACGGTTGAACTTCTCTAATGCAGTTTGGCGCCAGTCGCTCTCCCCTTCGTCGAAAAACTCGAACTCTGCCATCGTTCCTGAACAGACAGAACCGACTTTCATTTTTAAAGAGCACCCTCGCACAGTCACGTCACTGCCACCGACGTACAGTTCGTGCCCATTGCAGCCTGCGTTGACGGTGTAGACGGGTCAAGGACTCAAGGCCATTCCACGGAAGGGTCGGTAGGCTCGTATACCAGCCGTACGAAGTCGTCGAAGGACTGTTCGTCTGCTGATGGCATGCCCCAGTGCTGTTGCCGCCGTTGACGTCGCCGTCACACATCTGTTTCGGAGGTGAATCTGCCGGATGTAGCAGTCTTCGGTCGGTGTTGTCACTCTCGGTCTTCCCGATCTTGGCCGGTCATGAGTCTGTCCGGGGGCGGTCGGGTAGCCTAGTGGTTAAAGCGTTCGCTCGTCACGCCGAAGACCCCGGTTCGATTCCCGACATGGGTACAATGTGTGAAGCCCATTTCCTGTGTCCCCCGCCGTGATATTGCTGGAATATTGCTAAAAGCGGCGTAAAACCATACTCACTCACTCACTCACTCACTCACTTGAGTCTGTCCTGTCTGTTGGTAGCGGAGTATCAACTTGCTGATGGTGGCCTGGGAGTAGTTGAAGGTTCTGGCTATCTGACGTTGAGTAGACCCCATATTTGCCATACCGAATGCTCTGTCTCGTTGCGCTTGTGTAAGTCTGGGCATATTCTTGGTGGGTTTTTTTGCTTACTGAATGCCTGCTCTGTCCAACGTCGGTATTTATTCCACAATCACGCACGTGCATTTGGACCAATGTCTCAAAATCACGTTTTGCACGTTTTCAACAATGCATGATTTGGAAAGCTGCGTTCGAAAATCTGCGTTGTGGGTGTGGTCGCCGAAATGCCCAGTGTCGTGCAGTGTTCTCACGAGCGTGGACATGGCTGGTATTGAACTACATTTCCTTTAAATTGCCGCTTTTGTCAAATAACCGTCTGACAAGGGTTAATAGCTTCAAGCTCGGATGTTTACATCGCGTGACGGTCTTGTGCTAGCGAGGTCGCAAAGACTTCCGCCCGTATCCCCCCTCAAACAGTTATATATGTATGCATTATTGTGGTTCCATCCTTTTATTATAGATAAAATGGATAGAACTATAATTAAACCGCCCGGATGTTATTAGAAATGAGCGGGCCACTGTAACTTGATAATGCCCTCATATTGTTTGACCACGGGCCATTATCACGCTTGTTGTTAGTTGACGTCATATCGTCGGGCAGTTAATGGAATATCTTGGGCTTCTGCAAATGACAATGCCCTGACAAATAGCGTTACCATTATAATAATATATATTTTGAGGGGGATACGGGCGGAAGTCTTACCGCGCGGTCGACAGATAAAAATAGTTCCGTCTTACAATGGCTTCGAGTCACCTCAGAGGTATGTTTTCAGTGGAAATGGCCGAATGTGTTCAGAATGTGGTTGTACTCGTCCGAATTTATACTTCTAGCCCGCTTAGATACCATGCCGCAGTTTAGACAGGATGCCCCATTCCGACACAGTATATTAACCCCAAGCCGATCAGACTTCGTTGTGTGTCGTTAATATCAGGCAGGGTACCAACGAGTACCATATTTTAAAGTCTTTTGGAATTATGTGGCCAGGGTATCGAACCACCGACCATCCGCTCTCAGGGCAATGGGATGTACAGTTAGTCTGGATGGTTCCCAGGTACTTTGTCCGGAATAACAAAGATCGGATCAATCGAATCACTATTTCGTAGTGATTGCTTGAACATGAGCGGTGGGGTTTCGGGCTTACCAGGTTCTACTGTATTTACCTCTAACGTCTTGTTTGTTTGCATGGGATGCTGAAGACCTATACATCACGGGTAATCACCTCAAACGTCCGGAATAAGTTCGGATCAATCGAATCACTATTTCGTAGTGATTGCTTGACCATGAGCGGTGGGGTTTCGGGCTTACCAGGTTCTACTGTATTTACCTCTAACGTCTTGTTTGTTTGCATGGGATGCTGAAGACCTATACATCACGGGTAATCACCTCAAACGTCCGGAATAAGTTCGGATCAATCGAATCACTATTTCGTAGTGATTGCTTGACCATGAGCGGTGGGGTTTCGGGCTTACCAGGTTCTACTGTATTTACCTCTAACGTCTTGTTTGTTTGCATGGGATGCTGAAGACCTATACATCACGGGTAATCACCTCAAACGTCCGGAATAAGTTCGGATCAATCGAATCACTATTTCGTAGTGATTGCTTGACCATGAGCGGTGGGGTTTCGGGCTTACCAGGTTCTACTGTATTTACCTCTAACGTCTTGTTTGTTTGCATGGGATGCTGAAGACCTATACATCACGGGTAATCACCTCAAACGTCCGGAATAAGTTCGGATCAATCGAATCACTATTTCGTAGTGATTGCTTGACCATGAGCGGTGGGGTTTCGGGCTTACCAGGTTCTACTGTATTTACCTTTAACGTCTTGTTTGTTTGCATGGGATGCTGAAGTCCAATGCTGAAGTGTACAATGGGTGGAGCTTATGTTATCACTTCGCATAACAATTATCTAGCTTTTCCCCTCTTATCTCAATACAATTCTTACCTTGTTTGGACTCTCAAATTTATCCATCGTCAACATCAGTAAATCCAAAAATGAGCGCAAGGTGGCCACATGTCCCCATCACAATGACAATTGCGTGCAGTCGGCCAACGTAAGTCCCGACAAATGCGTGCATATATCGCGTCGAGTAACACTCGAGAAATGCGTGCATGTATCAAGTCATAACAAATGTCATCCGTTAAAAAAGAACTTTTCGGGGTTTTGTTTTTATTTCAAGTGAAAACTGACAAATCTAATCGTCATACATTTTCAGTCCTTATTTTCGGTACTCAAGAGGCCTACGCTACATTACTAACATAATGACAGTTATCCAGTTGAATGTGATATTTCTTTCTGTGAAACATTGCAAAAGAAATATACATGGATAGATTTTGCAGTATATCATGGTTTGTAATGTTTGACAAAGATGGAAAAATATTTACATGTTGATAGACATAATCATTGTGTTTAATGTTTCTATTTCTTAACATTGTACACGCTGGACATACAAGGAGAAAGTGGTACTCATCTTTGACTGCATTTGAGGGCGGTGGGGTAACCCAGTGGTTAAAGCATTCGCTCGTCACGCCGAAGACCCAGGTTCGATTCCCCGCCGTAATATTGGTAAAAGCGGCGTAAAACCATACTCACTCACTCGACTGTATTTGTTAACAAATTTTCAGTTCACTTTTAATATTTTTATACTCACACGCAAAAGAAACGCAAGTCGAGTATGCAGTATACATGTTATTTATTTTCAACAGTAAAGACAAGAAATACTAATAGGGCAATACTGACAAAAAATTGACTGAAGACAGTTTAATGGATTAAAAAGGCAGATGACATAATTGTCTTTTTCAAATGTTAAGGGCCTACACAGTTTCGGGTCAATACCCAAAATGTCAGTCAATACCTGGTGTGACCATAATTAGCATTGATCACTGCCACACATCTCCTGTACATTGAGTGGATCAGACGATTTGTAAAGGCCCTAGGGATCCTCCTGCACACATCCAGAACAGCTGTGCGTAGCTCATCGGCAGTTGTAGGGACTGGGCGCACATTGTGCAGACGCCTTTGAACCTCATCCCACAAGTGTTCGATGGGGTTCAGATCAGGGCTGAGGGCTGGCTACGGTAGAACACGGATGTTGTGTTGTTGCAGAAAGGCCATGGTAGCTCTGGCAACATGGGGACGAGCGTTGTCCTGCTGGAAAATGTGTTGTTGATGTTGTGCAAAAAAATGGAACAACGTGGGGTCTGATCACTTGGTCGATATACCGCTGAGAAGTGACGCCATGTCCCGACCTTGACCAACATTCAGAAAGCACGTGGGTCCAAGTCTCGCGTTAAGTCCAATCCCTGCCCATATCATGACGCTAGGTCCACCCCATGGATCTCTTTCCACGAGAAAGCGATGTCCCTTCTCGGCCACCATACAATAGCACCCGAAGTCCTGCCTCCTCTACCAGAGCCTTAGGACGAATAACCCGAAAATGTGTAATACTATCTAACGATTCATAATTACATACACAGAAGTCCCCTTGTGGTTACATGTGTAAAATCATTCACACCCTTGCGTCCATATTCACAATACACATATCAGCATATTATCTTGCGATTGCACGGTATCCATAGTAATCCACTGTTGTAAAGTCTATAGCGATCGCACATTCTTCTCGGATCGATGCCAAGCCAAGAATCAACGATCATAAAACTAGGTCACGTAAGTGTATAATATAGAGGTGTGTTTCTCGCACAAAAGATCACATTTCTCTGGAGCAGGAAATACAAAGTCTCTCTCATTCGTGACATTGTGTAATGTCACGTGACATCTGCCATACACACAGATATTGTTCCCGCTCCAGTGCCTTTGTACTTAGTATCCGACTCAACGCCTCCACATGTGAGAAAGTTTAAAATTTTAAATTTCTATTAATGTGATCCCTTAATGCGAAGCCATAACCCAAGAAACATGCATCTCCAACTTCACAGTCCTTGCATGGACTTGACGATTCTCGTGGATCATTACATGTGTGTGTTATTGTTGTTGTGAACGGATACCTCGACACAGTGACAGGTTTGGGGCGGAAAAGGGCGGAGTTGAACAGTTTTCAAACAGGTAATTTCATCTGATAGGGTCTTGGAAACTGGAGCAGGAAATACACAGCCTCTCTCATTCGTGACCTTGACTGGAATGCTTATCGATAATGTCTTGAAGCAAATTTGAATTACCTTAGTTACAACATAATGTTGGTATAGGACGTTACAGCCAGCACACAACTTACTGCCTAGACTAACATCTAGTCTCTGAAATGACCATTTTTTACAGGAAAAAGAGTTGTTAAATTATAGTTATAAAAATATAATAAAAAGGAGCAAAGAGACTTTCTCCATTTTCAGAAACTGCATTAATCTAGACTTGCCAAATGTTAGAGACTTGCATGGCCTTCATTGGAGTTATGTGTGTCAGACAACTTACTGGCCCGTGAACACATTGCCTGCTCGTGTTATACAGACTGCACGGATCATGCAGATCTGCCGGTTTAGTAAGAGCTTGTCCTTCTGGTCAGGGCTCCATTACACAATGCTATCTTAGTGTTACGTTTGTTTGTTTGTTTGTTTGTTGTATAACGCCGCACTGAGCAATATTTAAGCTGTATAACAGCGGTCTATAAATAATCGAGTAAATAGACTCGATTATTTATAGACCGTCATATTTCTTGAATATTGCTGAGTGCGGGGTTAAACAAAAAACAAACGTAAATCATTTTTGTGGGCATTAATTGAAAACGGTATTTTTACAGGAATATACTTTTGTGTTCAATATACCACGAAAAATCATTTCAAATTTCCAAGAGGTGGATCTTCTGCTTACTTGCCATCTCTTTTGCCTTAATTGCCAAATTCAAAGGACGAGTACTACCCGTTTAGTTAAAACATCAAACCTAAAAAAGGTCAAAACATACGGCCTGAACTACACATCGGTAAGTACATATGAACCTAATTTGTAGATGCATGTAGGTAGCCAAGGGACCAGAAAAATGTGTTTCGTCGAGATTGCTACACAGTTTTCATTTATATGAAACTCTGTAAACGCTTTCAAAGATGGAACACATTTTTCAAAGAATGGCCTCAGACAAGGCTGAAAATATCCTTCTCCTTGGTGAACACATGCTCAACCTCAGTGATCGCACAGGAAATATGGGACGTGATTTCCACGGAGAGCACGTGATAACCATACGACGTACGTTTTCCTCGCTATCTTTCAGACGATTACTCCAGCTTCGATTTACTGTTATGTTCAGGTCTAAACACCATTCCAGACAACGGTGCTTGTGCATACGACAATCATATATGTAGGTGTAGCTTCTTATGAAACACACACCCGAAGTTAGTTCATATCGGGAAACAAACGCAAATCTGGTCATAGCACGCATTTCCTACTGTATTTGCCTTTGGTTCAATGGATTAAAATCCGGTTTTGGTCCTGTGAAACAAGAAATGTTTCTTGGAAATACGTGCGTTGCCCATAAATTGGGCCATTTCATTTTGTAGTTAAACATACAAGTTAAGTGTTTCTGTCATCTACTGCACCCTGTTTTAATTTGTTATTAGAGTGAACGGTTTTTAACATTACAATCAACATTATTCCACTTGTATATAATGGCCTCTTTCCAACGCTGAAGTTTCTTCCCCGAACGTGTCATTGCGACATCTAACGGCGCACCTCCCATCATCATTATGTACCGGTTCGTCAATATTCTTTGGTCACTGACCCTCTAAGCTAACATTATGGTCTACAGTTTTGACAATTTCAATGCTTAGGATACAGGATATACCTAGGATATACGTCAGAGTCGGGGTCAATTATCAGCAAATCAATGGACTGAGGCCGCCCATGTTGTGAGAAATCACTCAACAAACACAAGTCAATATGTCACACGTAAGCATGACAACAACCTAGATATTGTCAGGCACATAACGTTCCCCTCGTTTGTTATTAGTCCCGCCATTGTCTGGTTGCAATAATGCCGATGTGACATAAAAGCTTAACTCCTTCACTCACTCATTCTGGCACGGAGCCATCACAGGGTTACAGAGACAAATAGAAGTACACTTCAGACACGTCACTCCTCTTCGTCACCGCACATCCGCCTCTCCAGCGTTACGTATATATACTGAACTGCAAAAGAAACGTCACCCCAAGTAACATTGCATGAAAAGTTGTCATTTAATATCTGGGTAATTTTTGTCAAAGTTTCTAAGATTTAACATTACCTTGTCCGGAAAAATGAAATTGATGATAAAAAAAACAAAGCAGATGACAATAAAACCGATCGCCCAAACGCATCACGGCAACGGCCATGGTAACCCGATGCACGTGAGTTCCGTGCAAATTGAAATGCTTATGCGTTCCCCCATTTCTTGCCTTATAAAAATCCACCCAGATCGGATAACATTCATTCGTTATTGAATTACTACCACATGCAAAGATTGACAAGAAATCGGCGACACCAATCCCTTGGACGATTGAAACCGCCCGGCAAGTAGCCAATGCATTTCAAGTCCACGTGAGGACCATATACAGGCTCCAGCAACGGTACCAGACCAGCAACACTACAGATGACCGACCACGCAGTGGAAGACTAAGGGTCACCACCTGACGTCAAGATCGTTAGATTGTGCGACAGCATCTTCAAGATCGCTTTGTTACTGCTGCGGAAACTGCTCGACAGTCCATGGGGACACCAGCGACACATTAGTGCGGACACCGTGACCACGTCATCATCGGGACCGTCTTCAGTGGGCAACACAGCACCAGCATTGGCGCCAACATCAGTGGGGAAGAGTCCTCTTCTCAGACGAGAGCCCTTACTGTATATCAACAGCAGATGACAGAGGGAGAGAGTCTGGCGACGCCGTGGGGAACGTTACACGGATGCTTGTGTTGTTGAGAGTGACTCGTTGGGTGGTCCGAGCATCATGGTTTGGGGTGGAATTGGTCTTGCACAGAGGATCGGCCCTGTGGTCTTCCAGAACATCGGTCCAGGGAAAGGCAATGGTGTCACAGCTGCTCGGTACATTGATCAAGTCTTGAGACCACACGTCATACCTCATTTGGCACGTCGCCGCAACCACGAGTTTCAGCATGATAACACCCGTGCCCACACTGCGAGAGATACAAGAGACTTCCTACAGCAGAATGGCATCAGAACCATTCAGTGGCCTGCCCTCAGTCCCGATTTAAATCCCACTGAGCACCTGCGGGACGAGATTCAAAGACGGCTGAATGACGTCTGACCAAGGTCGATAACTGCAGCTGAACTGCGTCAGGCGTTCCTCAGAGTGTGGGCTCAAGCGCCAATGGCCTTCATCCACCGCCGTATCCATTCCATGTATCGACGTTGCACGGCAGTCATCAATGCACATGGCGGACACACGAGATACTGACTTGCGATGCCACATGAATGTGCTACGTTAGTGATAGGGAGTTAGATGGTGACGTCACTTTCCTAAACGTAGTTGTGTTGGCGATTAACATGTAATTATTATAATATAAAACTGATATTTATCAAGTCTTTAAGGCATTTAGAAGTGATACACGTAAGGAAGAGAATTTATGGTGTCAACTTATTTATTATGAGTGAGTGAGTGAGTATGGTTTTACGCCGCTTTTAGCAATATTCCAGCAATATCACGGCGGGGGAACACCAGAAATGGGCTTCACACATTGTACCCATGTCGGGAATCGAACCCGGGTCTTCGGCGTGACGAGCGAACGCTTTAACCACCAGGCTACCCGACCGCCCCATTTATTATGAGGATGAAGGTGTAAGCATATACTCCGAAACGTGTTCCTCATAAAAAAGAAGTTGTGAATACAATAAATACAATGTGTGAAGCCCATTTTTGGTGTCCCCTGCCGTGATATTCCTGGAATATTGCCAAAAGCGGCGTAACACCGAACTCACTCGCCCTATATATGTGTGTGAGTGAGTGAGTTGTGTTTCAGCTTAATGTCGGAGGAAGCCCGAAGTGATGCATGTCTCAGACGTTTACCTCGAGCACGGGTATGGTGCTGACAAACCTAGAAACATAATCGGGGTGAACCGGGATTCGAACTCATAACCATAGGTTTCTGGCGTGCCCAAGGGACGCAACTCTGCACAGCACTGGGCCACCCGTGCCCTCTCCTGTACATGAATCGTAAAGTAGGTGAACAATTTGCCTTTCCATTACTTTGGACCTCACAAGACGTCCATACCAGATGGTGATTTGATCAAACCCATCATTTATCCCCCTTCTTATTAAGGTTGACATAAAATTGGGACTTGAGCAAAAATGAAACATAACTATCAAAACCGTGAAATAGAAATAAACATTTTAAGCATTACAATTATTTAAGATTGTATGATACTGTTGCAATATGCAATAGACAAGTGGTGGAGATATTAAAAACCAGATTTTATACGCCCTTGACCAAGTGACCTATCCTAACTGAAAGGGAATAAAAATAAACATTTTAACCATTACACTGATGATTTCTGTTTACAAACTGAAAACGTTTGAAGAATAAGTTGAGATGATAAAAATAATCTCGCCATTATGTTTTTTGTATCTGAGTATATCAACACTGGCAGATAAAGGTTTAAAAGACATTTTGGAGACTGTATCATCAATGATGACCTGACTGCGGAGATGGTCAGCAAAACCCTATTACATACGTTCAGGTGTTTTAAAACATTATTCAGTGAAGACCTTTGCGGTGATTATTTGAGTGATTTTGGTTTAACGCCGCTTTTAATAGTATTCCAGTTATGTCGCGGCGTGTCAGCTTAATGTGAGAGGAAAGTCCGAAGTGATGCAGGTCTAAGACGTTTACCACTTCGGTGAAAAACACGAGCACAGGCATTGTGCTGACAAACCTAGAAACATAATCGGGGCGAACCGGGATTCGAACCAACAATCATAGGTTTCTGGCGTGCCCAAGGGACGCAACTCTGCACAGCGAATCGCGTATTTGAGACAATGGGGAATGAAAGAGTGAGTTGGGTTTAACGTCATGGTGTGTCAGCTTGATGTTGGAGTAAAGTTTAAAGTGATGCAGATCTTAGACGTTTAGCAATTCAGTGAAACCAGCCAGCTCGAGTTTTATGCTGGCAAACCTTTATCCATAATCAGGGCGAACCTTGGCTTCGAACCCACAGTCATCAAATTCTGGCTTGCTTAATGCCCCCATTTCACTACGATCACGAATATCCCGAATCCCCCCGAATAGGATTTTTTTCATGTTCGTATATAAATCTAAATCATTTCTTGGAAGTTCTTAAATGAATCTTATTTGATTCCCAAACATTCGTACAGTTCGCGGGAGTTCGTCGATTCGGCGAAAAAGGTTTTGTTTGTCAAAAGCTTTCGTGGAAGGGTCCCCGAATTGCAATTTCGTGGCTGAATCGTAATCCATTCGTAATTAACTCCTATGTTCCGTAACAGCTTCGTAATCGATTCTTTTGCACTCGTGGCTCCCAAAAATTCTTGTCCTCAACCCGAAAACATTCCGAAACAGCTACGAATGTCTCGAGTCAACTACGAATCATGTAAGAATTAAGTAAGAACAAAATTTGACATATTCTTAACTTAGTCGTACGTGATTCTTACAATTCGTGCATGATCCGTACATGAATCTTGTAATTCGTACGTTTCTTAACCCAATCCTGGCATTCTTCATTTTTTTTCAACCCGATTAGCCACGAAAGTTTGCATTCTTGGCAGAATCATCACGAATTTCGAAAGTTTCCGATTCGGGGTGATTCGTGATATTCGTGGTCGTAGTGAAAGGGGGACATAAGGGATGCAAAAGCAAGTTACGGCGACTTATACGCCTGGGCCAACTGTGCCCCCGAATATGGGGGTGAACATGATTTTACGCCGCTTTATGCAATATTCCAATATTAATGTTATCATGTAACACATAACTCCGCTATCCGTAAAGCCTAATTCAGCGCCTTAGGTGACTAAGTCACTCGTGCCCTGTGCCCTGTGAATAGCTGCAGCAATCCACGTTTATGTTTCAGTCTCAGGGTGTACCGTGAAAACAACATGGCGTTTAAATGTAAGGTCTTTGGGATATGCCTCATGGTGACTGTGACGTCACTGGCTGTATTATTGTCCAGGATCCTCCAAACAACCCTGACGTCACGAGCAAGCTTTGGACGGAGCGGCGTTCTGGCAAGTGTGCGAGGTTATGAGAGACAGAGTGAGAGTCACGTGTTTTATTAAAACAATTAATATAACATGTTAAATGTAATGCATTCTTATCAAACTGATGTATAGGCACATGGTAAAGACCCGTGAAGATCCGGGTTAGATTTCGTCTTCAGTAACTCAGGCTTGTCGTAAGGGGCGACTAACGGGATCGGTTGGTCAGGCTCGCTGATCTGGTTGATGCATGTCTTCGTATCCCAATGGTTTAGATCGATGTTCATGATTGTAATCACTGGATTGTCTGGTCCAAATTCGATTATTTACAGACTGCCGTCATATAGCTGGAAAGTTGCCGAGTGCGGCGTTAAACAACAAACAAAACAGAACTGTAAATCTACCTGAGGTATCACAATACCGTCTGTATTTGACCTCATGTTCTTCAGGTAGGTCTATGGCAGAGACACTGCGCAGCGTCCGTCTTCTCTGCTGGGTAATGACGATGCCAAGCAACTTCAAGAAAAAGGCTAGATACGTCAGAGAGACGTGGGGAAAGAGATGTGACGTACTCCTCTTCTTCAGCTCGGTAGAAAATAAAGCCCTGTCTGTCATTGGTCTCAACGTTTCGGAAGGACGAAGCCATCTCACTGACAAAACTTACCACGCATTCCGCTACGTGTATAAACATTATTTCAACCAGGCTGATTGGTTTCTAAAGGCTGACGATGACACTTATGTAATCGTAGACAATCTCAAGTTCTACCTGTCCAAGTTTGATAAGAATCAGGGACTATATTTCGGAGCTACCTTTTCGAGAGTCACACCCCAAGGTTACAACAGCGGAGGTGCCGGTTATGTGCTGAGTAAAGAGGCTTTGAAAAAATTTGGTGAGCGTGGAAGTAATAATACGGCGTGTCCATTTGAGCGGGGCGTCGAGGACGTGGCAATGGGTCTCTGCATGTTCAACCTGGGGGTCAAGCTTGTCAACACGCTGGATAAGAAGAATAAGACCCGGTTCCACGCCTACAACCCCCTCACCCACATGGAAGCTGGGGACAAATACCTCAACTCTTTTTCAGCGTATGGCTACAGAACTGTGAGTATAGAGTGAGAGAGGGAATAAGTGTTGAAGCCAGGCTTAGCGGTATTCCCACGCTTGTATGGTGGGGGGACACCAATATTACACACACACACACACACACACACACATAAATAAAGCATGTATTTTATTTTAATTTTAGAAACACATTTTTATCTAACGTGGATCGTGAATCATTGCTGGTGCTCCCCGTCACTGGTTTGCTTCATCCAAACTCGATTATTTAGCGGCCGCCGTGATATTGATGAGTGAGTGAGTGAGTATGGTTTTACGCCGCTTTTAGCAATATTCCAGCAATATCACGGCGGGGGACACCAGAAATGGGCTTCACACATTGTACCCATGTCGGGAATCGATCCCGGGTCTTCGGCGTGACGAGCCAACGCTTTAACCACTAGGCTACCCGACCGCCCCCGTGATATTGATGACCTTTTGCTGACTGAGGCATTAAACAACATTAACTCACTCATGTCTTGTCTGTTGCAGGGAGCGATGAACATTAGTGATCTGCCCCTGACGTTTCACTACATACAAGGTCGGAACATGAAGGCTATGGAGTTCTACCTATATCATGTCCGCCATGTTGGAGATGGCGGGACAGTCTTAACTTAATACAGCGATCTCTCGGTTTCCTTTTTGTCATCTGTGAGGTCATCCTCTATTGTCCACGGTATTATATTTCATTATATACCCTGGACCCATACCCGAGACTATCGAGGATGTTTTCCATGGATTCATACCCTAGGTTATCGAGTATGCTATCCCTGTACCCATACGCAAGATTATCAATGACGTCCCTGGACCAATACCCTACATTATCGTGGATGTTGTCGCCGTACCCCTTAGGGCTGGGTAGAGTCAAAATTTTCTACCCGGGTACCCGACCCCCTATTACCCGACGCTACCCGGGTACCCACTGCAGGTCTCAAGAGTTGGGAACAAAATGTCTGATTGGGAATTGTTTTACCACAGCCCTGGCCAAAGCTATTCAGATACATGTATCAAACGACCAGATCATGCGTACACTGTGTTCCCTGTGTTCATACCCTAGATCATCGAGTATGCTGTCCCTGGATTGATACCCTAGATTATCGAGTATGCTGTCCCCGGATTCATACCCTAGATTATCGAGTATGCTGTCCCCGGATTCATACCCTAGATTATCGAGTATGCTGTCCCTGGATTCATACCCTAGATTATCGAGGATGCTGTCCCCGGATTCATACCTTAGATTATCGAGGATGTTGTCCCTGGATTCATACCCTAGATTATCGAGGATGATGTCCCTGGATACATACCCTAGATTATCGAGGATGCTGTCCCTGGATTCATACCCTAGATTATCGAGGATTATCGTCAGATAAACAACTGCTGTCCTGGACCCATACGCCACCATAGTTTCGTTTTGAACCCAATTCTATAGACACAACGCCAAATCAAGTTGCTCGCGAGAGAAATTGTGTGAGAATACGGGATAAGGGCGATGAAGGTTGCCGCGTCATGGGTATATATGATAATAGAATGGAGATAATATACCCTGCATTATCGAGGATGCTGTGATTTAAGCTTGGTCCGTGCTTCACCAAACCACGGAACCAGGAACCAGTTCATCTTTGATACAAGGGAATACAAGGGACATCTTCTCATCGCCGTTTGATAGAGATACTGAGGAATGGAGGCCTTACTGGGACTCCATACTATAATTACAGTTTGTTATATTGTCATTACAATGGATGATAACTATATCCCTGTGAAAGGTTGAGCAATAAATATGGAGAGAATTGTTAATTGATGTCCTTACCTTAATTAATTCGTTACAGAATGCAAACACCTGATGTGAGGTAACAAACCTTCTGTTTCTTGTTGCCTGGTATTCATATATAACGCATTACGCAAAGGTTTGTTTGTTGTTTAACGCCGCACTCGTAAATACGGTCTGTAAATAATCGAGTCTGGACCAGATAATCCAGTGATTGACAACATGAGCATTGATCCACGCAATTGGGATCGATGACATGCATCAACCAAGTCAGCGAGCCTGACTACCCGATCCCGTTAGTCGCCTCTTACGACAAGCATAGTCACCTTTTCCGGCAAGCATGGGTTGCTGAAGAGCTATTCTACCCCGGATCTTCACAGTACGCAAAGGCGGTCCTTGTAAACAGGTATGACAAACTCTTCTGAAACGCGTGAGTTCCAACACTGAATGGATCCTCGATTATTCAGTGTATATTTCCATTGTGTTTATTTTATTACGAGTAGCGGTTGGGTAGCATAGTTGGTAAGCGTGCGCTCGTCACACCGAAGACCCGGGTTCGATTCCCATTATGGGTACAATGTGTGAAGCCCATTTCTGGTGTCCCCCGCTGTGATATTGCTGGAATATTGCTAAAAGCGGAGTAAAACCATACCCACTCACTCACTCATGAGAGAACGTTTTAAAGATACCTCAGGAAAACATCCATTCCAGGTGAAGCTGATCGATTCAATTAAAACATATCGAGGGAACGCTCGTATTTGACATACATTTTGAATGTAGATCTATGGCGAACTCTAGCTTAGAGGGGTCAGGTTTACTGGGTTCTGATTTCGAGGAAATTCTGGGCTGAGGGAGATGGTGACATGTTGACGTTACAACCTAAGCCTTGGTGGCGAATTGGTCCAGGATATTTAAGGAAGGATAGCATAAAAAATAGAGATGCAAAAGAGTATTGTTGCAGAGCATCAAAATGAAGTCGTAAATACAAAAACAGCCAATAGTGTAACCATCCCTTCATTTTGGACTACAATGTACTGTTCTTCGATTGATTAACAACCCTCGACCTTCAAAAAGAGGCAGTGTTGATTGGTGGAAAGTGAAGGTGTTGAGAATTGGTTGAAATTACCCAAACAGTTATAGGCGCCTGCTTGTTTGATGTTTCCGCAAAAGGAAGTGTACAAAGCTGGATATCTATGCAAATACTACTAAACCAATACTGAAAGTTATTTAGAGCTATACTCTTGAAACAAAACCTACTCGTACCCAGTTTTCAAACCGTGAAAGCATAAAAACAACTGATTTTAACTGATTGTCTGGACCAGACTCGATTATTTACAAACCGACGTCATGTAGCTAGAATATTGCTGAGTGGGGCGTCAAACAACAAACAAACCTAAAATACATTAATTTTTATAAATGGTTAATTTACAATATTATTTTATTTTCAATACTACAGTTTATGCTCAGATTGTAAAAGCGAATTTTCTGTGGTTGCCCGTCAGCCAGCATTTCTTAGATATATTTAGACGCGATAGATATATAACAAAATGTCAGTGAACTAGTTTCAAACTCTTTCTATTATTTTGGATGTTGGTTTCTACTATGTTTTAATAATTGTTCAATACATAATAATTAAACAATCAATGATCATACATAACAATAATGGACCTATATCAACTTTAAAATAGGTTTTAAACACAACCAGGAACACTCCTTGAAATGTTCTCAACCAAAAATAACTAACATACGGTTCCAACTCACTCCTACATTAATTCCGTTTCCCGCAGTTCTATAGTAAATAGTAAATTGTTTTCAGAATAAGAAGTTTATACACATAAATGGTTCCATTATACTGAACACTGCGTGTGTGGGTGTGTGTGTGTGTGTGTGAGAGAGAGAGAGAGAGAGAGAGAGAGAGAGAGAGAGAGAGAGAGAGTGTGTGTGTGAGTTGGGGGGAGGGGGTGTCAGGTTGGGATTTGTTCAGAAAAAAACACCCTTATTCTAAATTATTAGCTGGACACACTGGCTGACATGAAAATAGTGTGTTGTGAATCATAGATTAAACTGCGTGTCAGAAGCTGTTCCGTTTCAGGACATTTTGACAGTATGTAACATCCTCTGCATCCTCTTTGCAACATATGTTTTTAACAACTGTGTCGATATTGAGACATATGATAGTTATAATATAATACTGTCAGCCTAGTCAGGTGTCGTTAAGGAATTGCATGCTGCAGCTCAACCAGTTGGGCCATTTTGTTTGATGTCAGTGTAGTTCATCTTTAGTGCTGTAGTCGTGGTAAGTAGAAGTACCTAACGTGTGTGTGTGTGCCCGTACGCGTGCGTGTGTGTGCGTGCATGTACGTACTTCCCTTCCACCCACGCTGGATCGGCCTAGGAAGATAAATACGGGCACACATACAGTTACTTTGGTCCACTAGCATAGAACTAGAACACCTTTTATGTGGCGTTTTTTTATGCCAATAATCATGATAAAAATACCTTTCCTCCGTCTTTTTCTTGTAGATGAAAACTATATCCAGAAGGCCCTCTTGTATTCCTCCATTTCATTCTGTGTAAACATGTCCCCGGAGTTTCATATCCCGGTCCGTGACCGAAACAATATAGTTCGCAGGAGACTCACACAGACCATGTCCCCGTCAGTCAATACTGAGACACGACAGTGCTGTTACTCGCATTGCCGGCCTTCGGCAGCCTGAATACCTATCTTGCAGAGCCATGGGTGGGGCATTTGTATATATCCCGGTTGGTGCCCCCTCTCCAGACGTGTGTATGTTTTAGGCAAACACGTGCTCTGAGTGTACGGACCCAGTGACCTATTGTACTTCGATTGGGGGTGGGGGGACTTTGGGAGTTTGGGAGTTTGGGAGGCTGCGTTGCTGTTGTTTTTGTAAGAGACAGGATATGTTCTGCCACTACTTCAAAACACTATATATTACTCGGAAAAGTGGGGACGAACCCAAACATTATTTTCATAAAAACAGTGATGTGAACTGGGGTTTAACGTCGCGACCAAGATTATTGATGCCGATTTATAGTGCAAGCTCACTGAGATACCATGTCGCAGTTTATCATGGATATCCCATTCAGACACAGTATACTGACTCCGAGTAGACCAGTCCTTGTTTTAGCTCCTTGATGCCGAGCGCCGGATAGGGTAACAACAAGTATAATCTTTTAACGTCTTTTGGTGTGACGCGGCCCGGGATCGAACCCCGTGACCTTCCGGTCTCCGGGCGGACGCTCTTCCAACAGAACACGGAGGCGGTCCCAATAGATATACCTAAGGTCCATCGAACAACATGTTTTTAGGTAAATCTTAAGGACAATTTTTCATTTACTATTTTAATCAGACATTTTTAGGAGACCCAGAGTAAGCGTTTATCACTTAGTTGTGGCGATCACCAGTGACACAAGCAATTCAGTATTGCCGTGTACCGTACTGACATTTAAAAGACTATTCCCGATTTTAAGTTATTTTGGAATTCATCGTTCTCGTTCAGAGCCAAACGGACTGTAAGTCATACATCTGCAAAAACGAATGTACGATTCGCTTACCAAAATTGAATGGTCTCAAGACTATGTTAACAACACGTTCATGGCCTATTCAGAATGTAAATATGGAAAGTTTATGACCTTCTTGTCCTCATGTCATATTTCACAATAACATTTGTGCTAAAACTCCAGCTTGGCAATCAGTATGTAAACCTTGGTCTCTGTGGTAATCCTATGTACTCCAATTAGGACTAGTCCAATACTCAGGAGGTAATCACCTCCTTGCCTCCTCCCAGACTGTGTAACAACTGGGAATATAGAGGTGTGTGACAAATGGGACGTGTAACTAATGGGAGATATCCGCCACAACCCGTTCACATAGCTTGGATTTATCCAATGCCCAGTGTTTACACAGCACTAAATGATATGATGTACGTAACGTAATTATAGTGTCATCGATTTTTCTCTTATAAATGTGTCAATACCAATATAGAGTGTGTCTGTACTCTCAAAAAGAAAAAAAAAGATCCGGGGTAGAATAGGTCTTCAGCAACCCATGCTTGCTGTAAAAGGCGACTATGCTTGTCGTAAGAGGCGACTAACGGGATCGGGTGATCAAGCTCGCTGACTTGATTAATGCATGTCATCGTATCCCAAGTGCCTGGATCGATGCTCATGATATCAATTTCTGGATTTTATGGTCCTGACTCAATTATTTACAGACCGTCGTAATGTAGCTGGAATATTGCTGAGTGCGGTGTTGAACAGCAAACAAACAAGCAAACAAAAATAGAAAGAAAGTGATTAAAAAAAGGGTTCGAACCCGCTATCAACAGACCCTGGAACGACTAAGATACGCAACTCTACCCAGCGAAATTTGACCTCCCGGTTTTGGGGGGCTTTATTTTGGCTTTTTTTAGAAGCATTTATGCCAGTTTCCCTCTTAACAAAACAACTCACAAAACAAACCTGTACATTCACTATATCACTTAGATTTAGGACCAAATAACAAATTAATAATTCCAAGTTAAAAGAACATAAAAAGAGTCATAGCCACAGCACACACTTTTCAACATTTACGTAACGCTTTCGGGCGCTACAATAAATAAATAAATAAATAAATAAATAAATAAATACTTTCTTTTTTATGCAAATTGTATGAATGGCGGGTACTACCGGTAGGACAGGACATGCTCACCCGAGATACATTTTGGTGGATATGCAGCTCTCCATTGTGTGAAGTATGATAACTGGTCACGTGACCACTGCCCTGAACACAGTAACAGCGGTATTCATTGAACCCGCTCCAGTCCCTTGACACCTTTCTCAGTGCTGCAGTATTGAGAAATTGCGACGGAGGTCAAAACTGTATTAATGTGATCCCTTAATTTGAAGCCATAACCCAAGAAACATGCACCTACAACTTCACAGTCCTCGCATGGACTTGACGATTCTCGGGGATCATTACATGTGTGTGTTATTGTTGTCGTGAACGGATACCTCGACACAGTGACAGGTTTGGGGCGGAAAAGGGCGGAGTTGAACAGTTTTCAAACAGGTAATTTCATCTGATATGGCTGGAATACTTATCGATAAGGTCTAAAAGTCAATGTTTTGAATTGCCTTAGTTTTAAAATAATGTTGGTGTAGGAATTTACATATTGGTTTCAAGATGCATCCAGAACGCGGCTAACTTTGCTTCCGACATGGTTCGAACTGGGTCGATGTTCTTGGGTGGAGTAGCATACTGGGGTAAAAGGTCATACCGCGTGCAACCGAAGAATCCATTCCGATAGAACAGGGGACTGTGGTTGAGCGTAGTGTGAGACGCTGCACGTGGAGTTCATGTTGGTACGGTTGATCGAGGACAAGTCAGCACACAACTTACCGCCCACGTGCAAATTAAACCTTCGCTATTGACTGCATCGATTGTGCAGACCCTACCGTTTACTTGTCAGTTTGTGATTATCTTTGTTTAGAGCTTAATTAAATAAATAAATAAATACTTTCTTTTTATGCAAATTGTATGAATGCGGGTACTACCAGTAGGACGGACATGCTCACCCTATTCGCGAGAACCTGGTGTCATCACAGATTTTCAGTGGTCCATTCATATAATTTCCACAGCTATTTGCCCTTTAAGCCAAGTGGAATCTGTTTCGGCAGAAATTCTTGGATGGTTATTCTATTGCATTGACATTTATATTAAGTCGATATCAAGTCGATACCCCCGCCACAGTTATGTTATGCTTACGGTATTAGATGAGAATGGCAAAGTAAATTGGGCATCCTATGTGAGACAAATGTTATTTAATAGTGGTTTTGCGTATGTGTGGTTATTCCAAGATGTTGGTGATAAGAACATGTTTTGTCTGCATTTAGAAGTCGCTCAAGAGATATTTATTTCCAAACATGGTACCACAGTTTGGAGTCGTCTACTTTTTTTATGCATTATGCTAAAACAAAATCTCTTCTGCAACCCGAATTATATATAACTGTACTCAGAGAAAAACGATTAGTTAGAGCAATGTGTAAATTTTTACAACTTTTGAGTCAACATTATTCGTAAAAGGGCATTGTTAAATGTACCTCATACAGCATCTGTGTGTAAAGGGGCGGTCGGGTAGCAAAGACAAAGATGTAACACTCTGGACATGTGACCAAAATATGATATATCTTACTACTGTACTATGTACAGTAGTCATAGCGCCACGATCACTTTGTGACGCGGGACATTGGTCCATATCTGAGACATCACTATCAAGATTCGTAATATATCTCTTTAGTACATGTATTTTAGCGCTACGACTATCGTAACTCTCACTCTTTAACAACAGAAATACGGCCATCAATGAACACTGTATATTTTCAGGAATACGCGTTTGGCTGAATGTACCAGGAATTTTGCTTTTTTTTATTTCCAAGCGTTGGTTCTTCTCATTTGCCAATGCCATATGCTTTCTGCGCAAATGCAAAGGGCGGATAACGCACATTTAGTCAAAACACACGGTCTAAGCGGCACTTCGGTGAGTACATGTGAACGTCATTTGCAGGCGTACCTAGGCAACAAAGGGACCCGCAGCACGGGTGTTTCGTCATAATTAGCCTCACATTTTTCATGAATAAAAAGCGCTTCCATAAATGGAACACATTTTCAAAGACTCGTAAGACGATGCTGAAAATATTCTCCTCGGTGCCCAACGTCAACAATCACATGTCCAAATATGGGACATGATTTCCACGAAGAGCACGTGCTAGTCATGCGACGTACCTTTCCACGGTATCCTTGGGCTGTTCAATCCAGTTACGATTTGTTACTCGTCCTGTTAAAGCCTAAACAAGAAATGTTTATCCTATTAATATCTGCGCAGTGGACGATTTTAAAAATACATTTTCAGTGCTTTTCTCATCTGCCACATGTTGTTCAATTATAACTTGTTATGGATTAAATGGTATTTAACATGTCAATTAGAAAACTTCCACCTATATGCGACTCAAAATGTTGATTGTTTGTTGTTTAACGCCGCACTCAGCAATATAGCTGTATGACGGCGGTCTGTAAATAATTGAGTCTGGGCCAGACAATCCAGTGATTTGGTATCAAGAGCGTCTATCAACGCAACTGGGATACGATGACATGCATCAACCAAGTCAGCGAGCCTGGCCACCCGATCCCGTTAGTCACCTCTTACAACAAGCCTAGTCGCCTCTTACGACACAGATGGGTTGCTGAAGACCTATTCTAACCTAGATATTCACGGGTACTTCTCAAAATGGGTTAAAGAGCATCCACAATCGGATGGCTGTGTTTTGAAAGAACCACCATCTATGATGGTTATCTACAGTCATATGACAAAATCAGGTGATCTTTAACTTCTTTGGAGTGGTATATAACGCCGGCCTCGAATACAACTCGGAACTTCCGGTAACATAACGACCCTGTCTTGATATTCAAGAAACCTAAAACAGTCTTCTCACTCCATTAAATATACAACAATTTTTTAATGAAGCATAATTCTTTTTAAATAATGTTTGGGAACATATTTTTCGACAAAACCCCAGAATCCACGTTGACATGTTTCAGTTTCAGGGTGTACCGTTCCCCTGTGTACAACATGGCGTTGAAATGGATGCAGGGCGTGGTGATCTGCCTCGTGGTTATTGTGACGTCACTGGCTGTATTATTGACTAGTCCCCTCCAAACAAACACGGCACTTGCAAGCTTTGGGAAGAGCATTCAGGCCGGCCTACGAGGTAATATGAGAGAGAGAGAGAGACGGGGAGGGGTGGGTTAGACAAAGAGAGGCAGACACAGAGAGAGACGGAGAGTCACGTGTTATATATATATACCAAATATACCGGTAAGTGAACAATTTATATTGTATCCGGCCATTTATACAATAAAATAGACAATATAACGTAAATAGCCTCGTACACACAAGCATAAAACATACAATGTGTGTGTGAAAATGATATACAGACACATGACCTGTGAGGCACTAATATATTACCCACTTGAGAAATGGTATACAGACAGGTGACCTTTGAGGCACTAATACATTTGTGAAATAAGGTAGTGAGTGAATTGGGTTTAACGCCGCTTTTAACAGTATTCCAGTTATATCACGGCGTGTCAGTTTGATGTGGGAGGAAAGCCCGAAGTGATCACTTGAGAAATGATATACAGACACGTGATGTATGAGACATTATACACACTGGTGGCAAAATCCTACGTTTATTGCCATTGGGCGATCGGATCGTTCGAGTTAACTTGGTTTATTCCGTTTGCTACGTAATGGCTCGGGCAACAATGTGATATTAGATATGATTTCACTGTCAACGGCATGGATACTGGTCGCTCACTCCGTATACATTTCCTACAAAATGACGGGCGGTTGTAAACTATTTTACAGTTAATAGGAAGTTGTATACAATTGTCTCGATTTCTTTTGGATATACTTGAAGTAATGAGAAAATAATGGAAATAACGAAAAATATTTGTAGCAAAGAAAAAAATCGAAACAGCGAAAATAAAAATCGAAATTTCGAGTTTTTTCAATAAACTTGAAATAACGAGAAAATACTTGAAATTTCGAGAAAATAATTAAAATAACGAGAAATTTCGATTTAAAAAATATATAAGTATGCTACCAAAGTTGCTCCATTAAGATTTCATAGATAGGTGTTTCATCGGAGTAAAGATCTTATTTTAATGAGATGGTTATAAACTGAGTTTTGTTTGTTGTTTATGCCGCAGTCATCAATACACCAGATATCTAAGGTAAACATAGCACCACGTTGCTTGTCCAAAGAGGCGACTGTATTGGATTACCATACCCCGACGGCGTGGGACGTTGATCGTGGTGACAACCACTGGTTTGTCTGGTCAAGACTCGATTATGAATATGCCGCCATGATAGGGCTTTTATATTGCTAACCGAGGCGTTAAACAGCATTCATTCACGAGGAGATCGACATTGCCCTGGCACTATTATTTTGGATTTGTTCTTCAAGTTAATGACAGAGCTGTATCCCGTGAAGATCCGGTTCAAATTTGGTCTTCAACAACCCATCTTTGTTGTTAGAGGTGACAAACGGGATCGGGTGGTCAGGCTCGCGGATTTGGTTGATGGAAGTCATCGTATCCCAATTGCGTAGATCGATGCCCATGATTTTAAACACTGGATTATTTACAGACCACCGTCATACAGCTGGAATATTGCCGAGTGCGGCGTTAAACAACAAACAAAACAGAACTGTAAATCTACTTGAGGTATGACACTGCAATAAGTATTTGACCTCATGTTCTTCAGGTAGGTCTATGGCAGAGACACTGCGCAGCGTCCGTCTTCTCTGTTGGGTAATGACGATGCCCAGCAACCTACAGAAAAAGGCTAGATACGTCAGAGAGACGTGGGGAAAGAGATGTGACGTACTCCTCTTCTTCAGCTCGGTAGAAAATAAAGCCCTGTCTGTCATTGGTCTCAACGTTTCGGAAGGACGAAGCCATCTCACTGACAAAACTTACCACGCATTCCGCTACGTGTATAAACATTATTTCAACCAGGCTGATTGGTTTCTAAAGGCTGACGATGACACTTATGTAATCGTAGACAATCTCAAGTTCTACCTGTCCAAGTTTGATAAGAATCAGGGACTATATTTCGGAGCTACCTTTTCGAGATTCACACCCCAAGGTTACAACAGCGGAGGTGCCGGTTATGTGCTGAGTAAAGAGGCTTTGAAAAGATTTGGTGAGCGTGGAAGTAATAAGACTGCGTGTCCATATAAGGGTGGCATCGAGGACGCAGCCGTGGGTCACTGCATGTACAACCTGGGGGTCAAGCTTGTCAACACGCTGGATAAGAAGAATAGGACCCGGTTCCACGCCTACCACCCCCTCACCCACATGGAAGCTGGAGACAAATACCTCAACTCTGTGTCAGCGTATGGCTACAGAACTGTGAGTATAGAGTGAGAGAGGGAGTAAGTGTTGAAGCCAGGCTTAGCGATATCCCAACGCTTATACGGTAGGGGACACCAATATTAGTTTATTGTTTGTTGTATAACGCCACACTCAGCAAAATTCCAGTTATATGACGACGACTTGTATACACTCGAGTCTGGAAAAGACAATCCAGTGATTGATATTGTGAGCAGCGATCCACGCCGTTGGGGTACGATGACACGCCATCGACCAAGTTACCGAGCCCGACCACCCGATCCATTTGTCGCCTTTTACCAACATAATCAGTGGGTACCTGTACTAATCCGGAATCTGTTTTTCAGTGAGGGCTTAACAACGTACATTTTTTTAATTTACAACGCAATATATTTGAGAACATCTCGCATGTCCAATTGCCCAACGATAATTTATATTTTGTTTTTGAAAACGTTGGAATTTATTTTATTTTGTCTGTCTGTTTATTCGGTTCGGTGGGGTGGCATTATTGGGAAGACACTACTATTTAAGATGAGTCGTGAATCGTTACTTGTGCTTTCAGTCACTGTTTTGCCTGGTCCAAACTCGGTTCAAGGCGTGATATTGATGACCTTTTGCCGACTGCGGCGTTAAACAACATTAGCTCAATCATGTCTTGTCTGTTGCAGGGAGCGATGAACATTAGTGATCTGCCCCTGACATTTCACTACATACAAGGTCGGAACATGAAGGCTGTGGAGTTCTACCTATATCATGTACGCCATGTTGGAGATGGCGGGACAGTCTTAACTTAATACAACGATCTCTCGGTTTCCTTTCTGTCATCTGTGAGATCATCCTCTATTGTCAACGGTATTTTATTTCATTTTATACCTGGACCCATACCCTAAATTATCGAGGATGTCCCTGGACCCATACCCTAGATTATCGAGGACTTGTCCTTGGTCCGGTTATTTTTTACATCGCGCAGAAAACCAGGAACCAGCTTATCTTTGATGCAAGGGAATACATGGAACATCTACTCATCACCGTTTGATAGAGATACTGAGGAATGGAGAGGCCTTACTATGATTAAAGTTTGTTATATTGTCATTACAATGGATGATAACTATATCCCTGTGAAAGTCTGAGCAACCTTTAATGAAGAGAATTTGTTTATTATTGTTTCTACCATATATTTATGTAAGAGAACGCACCATCACCGGATATGACATCCAATAAACGACTGCTGAGGTTATTGTTTTCCTGGATAATATACGCCGCCCACGTGAACAGTGAACAGGTGTTATAAACTTTTATGACACGTGTGTTGCAACATTGAATAGAATTTGATCACCCTCATTTATCCAGTGTATATTTCCATTTATTTTATTTTTGTAAGAGGGCATTTTGAACTCAGGAAACCGCCTTTTCCAGCTAAATGTTCTAAAAGCTTTCAGATTAGATTAAAAAATATCGAAGGCTCGCTCGTATTTGACATCGATTTTTTATATAGATCTATGTCGAACTCTTGCTCAGATGGGTTTTTTTACTGGTTCCGTTTCGAGTAAATTCTGTGCCAAGTTGGTGATGAGGAAGATAGAAATGGTGACGTCACAGCCGAAGATATAGAGGCGAACTGGTCCTGGGTCTTTATCATACGAAAATGGAGATGCAAGAAAATATGGATGCTGAGCATCAAAATCCGGTCGTAAATACAAAAACAAAACAAAAAATTCGACACAGTCCCTTCATTAAGGACTACACTGTACTCTTCTTAAGTTGGTTAATAACACTCGGCCTTTATGTAAGAGGCTACATCCGTGGAAAGTGATGGGGAAGTGAATTGGTTAAAATTACCCAAACAGTAACAGGCATTAGATTGACTCCGGCTCGACCAGTTCGGCACTGCGAATTGCGGCGCCATAGACGACTGGGCCACCCGTTCCCCAAAGCTATTTATGTTTAAGTTCTGCTCAGATCTCACATTGTCAAGGTATATAAATAATTGATCTTACATTTCTTAGATAATACTGAAAAGTTTATAAGTTTGGCACAAGACATAAACCCTACCTCCGTTGAAATGTCTGCCAGAGTAGCACAAAATTAACTTTTGAACGCTGTCGATTTTTTTTTTAGCCTTGGCCTGTTTTGGGTTTTTTGGGGTTTTTTTTTGGCATTTACTTCGGAAGGTTCCTGTTACTACTTGGGCATTTGTTTTACCTATTCATTTCACCTTCACTTTTCACCGGAAAGACAGCCTTTATATGAAGATCGAGACTTAATGTCTTGTACACTATACAATGCAGCGCAAAATCATTGTTTCGGTTGTGTTTTTCCTGTGTTCCAAATATTTTTATCATCACAGTTAACCTGCGGCTGTATTTTGATGCTATGTCGAGCTTTTCTTCTTTACACAACTCGCACATGACCGCTGGAAACATGACTGGGATCCTGACTTGCGTAGAGAAGGAAGAAAAACAGTCCAGCCGATTACGACAGTCTCGCGAGATTTATGACGTCGCCATGACGACAGTTTCACTACTGATAACGCCATTATTACTATCGTACTGCTCTCATTGCTACATTTCTGCTGCTGTTTGCTCGTGTTTTGTTCATCTACGTTTATGAACACTATGAGTTCATACTCTCAAGGTATTTCTTTATTTCTAAAGTAGTTATTTTTTTATTTTTTTTATTTCTTTTATTAACTTAATTCAATCTAAAGTAACGAAAAGAGAAACTCCCAGAACTTACTCCCAGGATTACCAGGATTATTTGTCCTGTGTGAAGAAGATCTTTTTCACGTCATCAGAGTCCTTCTCAACCTTTTCAGTCTATTAATAAACATTACAATCATATTTTAGTGGGGGGGGGGGGGGGGGGTTCGGATTGTCCTTAAATTTAATTACAATGTACACTGTCTACTTCAGTTGTGTCAGAACTGGTTGTCTAAAACTAATATTTTTTCCGGAGGTGAGTGATCCAGCGGGCGTAATTTACATTTTGGATTCACTAATTAACTCTGCAGAATGATTTAGTTAAACATTAGGAAAGAAAAACGGGTCAGTCCCTAAACTCTAGTGATTCGTTTGCCTGTCCAAAATGTAGAATATTTAGGCCTAACAGTTTTTACTGGACCCTTTTATAAGCTCAGATTGTAAAAGTGAGTTTTCCGTGATTGTATGTCAGACTAGACTTAGTGGTAGACCATTAGTTGAGTAGCAAGTAGATATATTTACATACCATTTGTAGAGTTAGTTTCCAAACCTGAGTCTACTAGTGAGTTAGTTTATGGGGTTTTGTTTATGTTCGGTACATACACACAGTAATGGGAGAGTTATCAAATATATGTTATCTTCAAGTTACCCAAATCATGAAGCTTTAAATACTTCCAAGGAAGAGAAATAGTATAAAGGTAACATCTTCTTATGGTCTGAACCAAAATTCACTAAACTTAGGGTCCCAACCCACTCCTACATCAATTCCATTTCAAACAGTCACTTAGTAAATGATAAATAACTTTTAGAATAAGTAGTTTATACACATAAATTTATACTTATTGTGTGTGTGTGTGGGGGGGGGGATTCCATGAGACTTAACCAAATTTAACTAACTATGGTTCTAACCCACACCTACACCAATACTGTTTCCCACAGTTGTAATGGGTAATTCTTTCCAGAATAAGGAATTTAACACACAATTGATACTTATTGGATATCCAATTTCTAGGTTGAGTTTCATATCTATCAGTGTTATCTTCAAGGGGTATTGTCTTCTGGTTTGATATAAATTTGTATCTTATGAGAAATAGATCTGAAGAAAATGCTGCCTTTTTTCACTGAATCTTATTGAGAAAGTGACTATATTGTATAATAGACGTGGAACCTTTCTAACCAGCTGGTACAGATGTGAACACCCGCCTCCAGTTTGACCAGTGAGCGCTATCTATCGTGATGCGTTTACGAGTGCTTCGCTACCTATAAACGTTTCAAATAGACTGACAATGTTAACATGTTTCAACAGTCTTATTATTAGACCATACACATTAAGATCGAGCGAAAAACAAATATTTTTTTTGTCTAAGCTTTAATCCCAACATTGACAACATTCAATTTTATTTTCACTTAACCCTTTAATTACTAAATCTTCCTACTTCCTGTATCCTGTATCCTGTATCCTGTAACATTGGGAAATAGAACAATGGTTTGGGCAAGTGGCAGATATTTTCCCTGCTCACTGACAGTGGTGCACACAAACACTACATGTAATTGGGTTTCCTTTCTTTGTTCTATACATCTATACTAGTCCTATAGTCCCTGCCAAACTGCCCAATGTTTAAGATATCAAAGGGACTAGTAGAAAATTGCCATTTTTAAGTGTTTTGCCATACCTTATCATTACAAGGACTAGTGGACTGAAACTGTTAGTTTCTAACGCTGCTATACAAACACTGTATTTTCTTTGTGTCAATTAAATATAATTATATTTATAGCACTGATTGGTATAAACGTGGTAGTACTTCATGTTCAGTCTACACCCAATACAATACATGTATATAGTTCTACTTTGAGTCCAACCTTTAGTAAGCAATTCCTTCACATATTTACATTATCTTTAAAAATGCTTAGCAACTCTAATACTCCAAAGATAATGAGTGTATAGTATCTACCAAAGGTAGGTGTAACTTTCAGGGATCATTCCAGGAATTTTCTGATGTGGGCCCATTTACCCCTGTTAGGAGAAATTTGAAACAATTTCTATGTTATGCCTACATAATACAATGTTATAAAGTCCCGATGGTTTGGAAAATGTGGACCTTCTTTAGATTTATGGGCCAAAATCCCAAAGGCCCTGACTAGAATTATCCTAGAATATTCATGTGTCTATGGGGTGACAAGATTTGATTCAGTGATGTGATCATCACCCTTAACTTATTAATTTGTCATGTATTATTTGAATCGAATGGCAGTGGATCAACATGATAACTTTAAGCTTTTATATACTGCCTGGGAGTCTAGTTCATCCTTATTTAAGACTTTCATCCCTTCTTACCCACAGCTGTTGACCTTGTGATCAGGTTCCCCTTGAACTTTGACATCTGGGCCCCTCCTCGCCAAGTGGGTGTCTTAGGGAATCAGTAATTTACAATCAGAGTTGTTGTAAAACTGAAATTGTGTTTTGTATTTCACGAGTGTCATCGATTTAACCATTTAATCTGTTACTGACACAACGCCATACAAACATAAACAGTGCACAATTGATTTAGACACATTTACACTAGTATATATGTGTAGTAATAATCACATATGTTAAACATTAACGTTCTCCTAACCTCATTAGTTTTGCTAAATCGATTTATTTCCAACAACTCTTTCTCTGTTTACTATCATCCTCTGTCACTCTCTTTATGTCCTTCTCACCTTTTCTGTCAGCATCCCACTGGGAGATACATGACCATCCTTGAACCCCTGTCAGAACTGCCCGTCCCTCCCACCTCTATCCCTGACCCTACCCCGGTCCTCCGTGATGCCCCTTACTTCGTCGATATCAGCCTCGATGATGACGACAGCCCGACCCAGGCCCGGGTTCGAGTCTTCCTGTCACGTGTTTCTGGGTTCTTGAGGAGAGTGTTCCGTGTCAAGATGGACGCTTAGAGTGACATCTTGCTACGCTTGTGGAAGTTGTGTCATATAATAATTAATTACCTTAAATCTTATAAAAAATTGTGACATTATTGTTGACCTTTTGGACGTTTTTATACTCTTCGAACCTTTCGGAACATTTTGCTTTCGGGTTTTTTTCATAAATGGATTCCATTTTTATTATAAGGTTTAAAAACGTATATTTTGAGAAACACATTTTGGCCCTTTTGGACAAGATTTAGCTTTTGCTTTTCCTTGATTAAACTGATTAACAATCAGTATTAACTTTTGAAGATTGTCTTGGTTTTTTCTTTCTTTTTGTTATATAAAACAAAACATTTGTTCATCAGATAGAATGAAAAACAACCAAGCAACCCTTTCTATGTGTAGAAATGACATATACCGTTTTATATCATCATCTACTTGGTGGATAAGGATAAGGATTTTATCACATTTCTTTGCACCCGTTTCAACATCTTTGATACAGAGTAAGGTTCACCCGCACAGAGCAATCATGTATCCCTTAACATAGACTTCAATACTTGTAGCGCAGAGATCAATTTGTGCATTTCTTGGAGCCTTGTCATGTATAACCGAGTGAGTGAGATAGGTTTGAAGCCCTCGAGCAGGGTTTGTTGCTGAAATAACGAGGGTGTAATAACCAAGGCGAATCTAATACTAGTATTGAAACCACGATCCCTTGGACATCCGTGCCCCTTGCATAATTTATATGAATGCCAGAGTAGCTAGTCCAATGTCCAATGTCATATCTATGAGTGAATGAGTATTTTTTTTACGCTGCGTTTAGCAGTATTTCGGCGGAGGACACCAGAAATGGGC